CATTGTGGAGATGGAAAACATCCATCTTCAGCTGACTTTTCCTCAAATACTGATTTAATCTTCTGAGTTGTAAAGAGAGTTTGGCATTAAGCCAAGTCACAGACCATTGCTATGTGCTAAAGGAGTCTCTAGATTTATATTTCCTAAAGAGCAGTACTCTGCCATCTCATCTTTTTGAAAGTGAAATGACTTTTACTTCGTATTCCATGAGTAAAATCCTGTTGTGCAACTACTTGCTGACCTAACCCAGATGGGACACTGGAAATATATAACTTAATGGTCACTAAAACTTCCTATCTGATTGTTTTAGGTTCTGAGGCTTCCTAGGGCTCCCTTTTGCACTGAGGTGAAAGGAGACTTTGATTGCCCAAATCACCCATGCCAGGATCAGAATTGCTGGTGGTGATCCAGAAGAGATTTTAGCCTTTTAAAGACTTCACCCAATTGCAAGGCTTCCCCAGAGCAAAACAGAGACACATGAAGCCTCAGAACCTAAAAGAGGGGATAGGAAGCTCTTAATTAATGTAAATTAAATATTTTCAGTCCCCAAGCTGAATTATGCCGGCCAAAGGTTACCCAAGAAGATTTTGCCCGGAGTTGTGGTATGACTGAGGGGAGGAGCTTCTGTTGAAACTCAGAAAGTTAGAAATCTTACTTGCTATGCCCAAAGGTTTAGTATTTATGTGCTTTTTATATACACTTTTAGCTTTTGTGTGAGGGATCAGCTTGACTCAGGAAACTCCAGTGGTGTCTGACATGTGTCTAAACCCAGCCACTCAATGGCTTGGGCCCTGGATACCTAAAGGACCGCCTCCTTCCATATGAACCTACCCGGCAGTTAAGATCTAGCCAGGGGGCCCTTTTGAAAGAGCCGTCCCTCAAGGAGGTACGAGGGATGGCTTGTAGACAAAGGGCCTTTTCAGCAGCTGCCCCCAGACTATGGAACACCACCCCAATTGAGATTCATCTGGCGTCAACGCTGATGACATTTTGGCGCCAGGTCAAAACCTTCCTGTTCCAGAAGGCTTTTAATTGAAATAATACCAGCTGTGGGTCCTGGTGGCGATTTTAGAGTATCTATTTTAATCGTATTTTAATTGTTTTATCATTTTATTGTATTTTAATTGTATTTAATTGTTGTAAGCCGCCCAGAGACCTTTGGGTAGAGTGGGCGGCATAAAAGTTAAATAAAATATAATAAAATAAAGTGTTTCTCCAAACACTTTTGTCATAGCTAGGAAAGCTGAGGAGGACCCACTAACAGAGGAGAGGTCACCCTGGGGAATATTGCCCAAGACTCTCTCAGTTCATTCACTGCCAGCTGGTATTTACAGCTGAAACAATTGCCCAAAATCCAACTCTATACTTTTAACCCAACAGCCAGAATCCCACTGAATAATTATACCAGTGTTAGGCCCATTTAAGCACTTTGTTAAAAAGTTGGCACTTGTATTTCCTGTCTCACAGCACATTGCGTGACAGCTATGTAACAGGAAATACAACCCCTTACTTCCTTATTGGATAATTCACCACTCTGATTTATGCTGATGGACTTAACACCAGGGAATGTAAACTGCAGGATTCTGGCCATTACGTTCATCTTCATCTTAGAAATGTACTTGATTCTTCCTAAGTTTAATGGCTGAGCAAGGATAGAAATTCGCCTCTTTGAACATCTATCATGCTATCCTGTTAGTCATACCAGGATCTCATTATTTATCCGTTTGTTACAAGTGAATCCTGTCTTAATAACAATCTCTCTCCCATCTTTTCAGATAGACAAATAATGTTACATATGCTAATTATATCTGCCAGTTTATTGTTGAAAGTATATCAGTGTCTGATACTGAAAATCAAACACAGACTAATAGGCTAGCCAACTCGAACTCATACATCTAAAGGGCTTTTTACATGGCTGGAAATGGAAAGTTTTGCTTCTATTTTTCCTTATGTCTTTTCATTTGAGAAAGTGGTCCCTAATTTGACTGATCTCTGAAAAGAATGTATAATATGAATATACTTGATGTGATTTTTAAAACACAGAAGAAGAATGTGCCATCCAAAAGGGACCCTATAAATATAGCAGGAAAACAAGGCAAGAAAATATTCCTTGCCACATCATTAATATAGAGTATTTATCACCGCAAAATTAATTCTTGCTTAGCAGTGTATCAAACAGTCTATGAGGAAAGTTAATTGAAAATCAATTGTTGCAGGGAGGATGCTGAGTGTACTGTAAACTCTCTTGTGCAATATGTTCTTTGGCATAGCTGAGGAATGAAAGGGAAGACCCCATGGATCTGGCCACAAATGAGAAAATACTGTACAGTTGGTGGAAGGTGAGATCCTAGACCAAGATAATGCAGGTCAGTGACCTAGGCAGATAAGGATTATGAAAGTTAGACTATCATCTTAAAACTGCAGAGCTGGAAGGGACCTTATGCACCATCAAGTCCCATCACTTGGGAATTGAACTCCATACCTCTGGCTCTGCCGCCAGATACCTTAAGCCAGTGGTCCCCCACCTTGGATCTCCAGATGTTTTTGGACTTCAACTCCCAGAAATCCTGGCCAGCAGATATGGTGGTGAAGACTTCTGGGAGTTGCAGTCCAAGAACATCTGGAGGCCCAACGTTGGGGATCACTGCCTTAAACCACTGAGTTATCTAAGCAGTTATGATCCACATTGTCTTTCTCTGTGGCCAGAATCCTGTTAGTATTACGGTGCATAAAGGCAATCATGCAATGACTTTTTGTGGATTGTTTGTTTGTCAACCAGGCATGTGAATGGTTGAAAGATTGGTTCCACGACAAGGGTACAACCAAGCATAGGATGGACTGCCCACAGACAACTGCACTGTGTTTGCACAATTGCCATTCTGCCCACCTCTGTTCCATCAAGACATTGTAAACCTGAATGGTCCTGATGGTAGAGAATTACTTGTAAATAAATGTACTGGGCTATTAGAACAGGGGGAGGATAGTGCTGGGGAGGAATAAAATGGCAGGGGTCAAAGACAGGCTTTTATTATATCACTGAAACTCCCAATAAAAACTTAAAAGTTTTAAAGGACAAGGACTACAATATTTTTCACCTCACCAGTTGCATACAATGTGCATCATTTGCAATATGCCCCCAATTGTTTGTTGTTTGCCCCACCTTTCTCCTAGAAAGGACATTAAAAATGTCACGTAAAAGTATTACTAAAACAGATTTACAAGCAACAAAATATAAACCATCCCACACAGTCAGCTGCTAAGGAATATCCTGCGGATTTATTTAAGAATATGGAGCTGAAGATGGCCTTCAAAAAATTAATCAGTCAGTCCTTCTCTGCTTCTTCTGTCTCCTCAAAGGAATAGGGAACCAGATATTTTTCACAAATTAATAAATGGGGGGGGGAGCTCTTTGCCTCACATTCAGCTGGAAGCCAGGGATCTTGCAGGATTTGAAAATCCCTGAGTTTCTTAAGCCTAAATGGCGTAAATGGAGAAGAAACATGGCTACAATCAAAATACAGTGGTGCCTCGCTAGACAGTTACCCCACATGACAGTTTTCCCGCTAGACACTGAATTTTTGCGATCGCTATAGCGATTCGCGAAACAGTGATTCCTATGGGGGAATTTCGCTGGACAATGTTTGGTCCCTGCTTCGCAAACCAATATTCACTAGAAAATTTTGACAGCTCCCTCCGCGCTCACAAAACGGGTGTTTTCGGGACCTAAGCTTCGCAAGACAGCGATTTAAACAGCTTATCGGCAGTTTGCAAAGCAGCTTTCCTATGGCCGATCTTCGCTGGACAACAACGATTCTTCCCCATTGGAACACATTAAACAGGTTTCAATGCATTCCAATAGGGAAATGCTTTTTGCTAGACAACGATTTCGCTAAACAGCTACTTCAGTGGAACTGATTATCATCGTCTAGTGAGGCACCACTGTATATGCTTTGACACCCAACACTATTTTAACTGGATATTCTTCCCTTCTCATTACTTTCACAGTACTCCAGGGAGCCAAATAAACGACTCCACAGGTTTCCCCACCATCCAGATCCCCACTTTAGTGTGCATGGGGACTTCCAGAAGAAGAAAAGGTCTGATCTGATAGAAACAATGGGATCCAGCAGAGGCACACCATTGGAATCTGATCAAGGAACTTACCTATTGTTCTGCTTGCACATTCAGACCAGAATGCCCTTCAGACCTTACACAAACCACATGTATTTGTTATCAGAAAACATTTCCACCACAGTGAAACATAGCTCCTTGTACTTTTCATGCATGCAAAGAAGGAGAAAGTGGAATCTCACTCTGTTTCTTCCAGTGAGAAAGAAAGGAAAGCAGCAATGAACACAGATATTGGTTCAGAAATTTAAGTAGAAACACTGGGAGTGGGACAAAAAAAGCAAGACCAACAAAGCCACACCACTGCCTGAAGTTTCCTGCGGTATCTTAAACTCTTCCCTGATAATCTTGGGTTCTCCAGCAAGGCCTAAAAAACTCTACCAGAGATGCAGAAGCTTCTCTTGGGTGATTCAGAGGGATTTTTCAGTCAATAGCACAAATTAGACTCTAATGCCTTACTCTCAGAGATGCGATACTTCTGATATCTGACTTCTGTCAGCTGGATCTTGGCAGACTGCGGACACTAATGAGTTATGACTTGACAGCCATGTGAAGCTGTTGTTTTTTTTAACTGCTACACAAAACTCTTTTTTAAAAAAAAAATTAAAACTGCTCTTCACATCTGTGGTACTTCACAACATTCTGCTCTCTCGCTCTCTCTCACTGCTCACCTCCTCAGGAGCATAATAGATATGCTTATGTGTTGCCTCAAACCACTGCCAAAAGAATATCCTTGCAATGGGTCAAAGCACCCCCATTATACACCATTACACCAAATATATTTAGTGGGCATAAAGAAGCTTCAATTATTTATTGATTGATTTAAAATATCATCTTTTAGGGAAACAGAAGATGAAAGAGGAAGGTGTTACCTTCAGCAGACAATTCCAAAGGTTGGCAGGCTTCATTTTCACCACCTTTCTCTGGGGAAGAGAGCAGCTTTCTGGCCAACATTGCAGAAATAGGCTGGACTAATAGAGAAGTGAGATTTGATCGATGCTGTTTATAGCTTCCATCTTCAAGAAGAGAAAAGAAAAAGAAAAAGGGGGAAGAGCAATTTAGCAAGTGATAATACTAAGACCACTTTTTTGCTGAGTCCCTGTGTTTGACTTATACAATTATTGAACACAACAACAATAAACGGAGGCGGATAGGAAACATGGCTGAAATCAGTTTTGTTGTCCCATTGGACTCGTTCAGTTAATTTTTTTTTCCTTCATTCTGAAATGAAAGCCCAGACTTAATAATAAAATGTGGATATTTTGAGTAGAGGGATAACTATGTCAATACTGTTTCTACCCAATAGGGGTCACAGCTGACACACCACCCTAAAATGGTGGCAGACATTTTCATTCCATAGATGTGGCACTAAAGCAGTGTTTCCCAATCTGGGGGACGTAACCCCCAAGAGGGGATGAGAAGTGTTTTCTGAGTGGACACAGGTCACATGATATGAGTTGTAGCCCTTGTTTATTAATTTCTTCCTTGCTCTTTCGAAGCTGGATACACAAAGCCTATATGTGTATGTATGAGAAAGAAGCCTCTACTTTCTGATGGCTTTACCCCGGTTTGGGGGAGAAAGAAGCCTCTACTTTCTGCTTGCTTTACCCCATGAAAAATGCTTTTTTATGTAAATGTGGCAAGGGATTGCAGGTTACTTGGCTATTTTAAAGGGAGTTGTGACTCCAAAGAAGTCAGGAACCACTGGTCTAAAGACAAGGTACAACAGCATTTTTCTTATTAGTCGCATATATGTCTTGTTTTTCCTTCAGTGTCTTGTTTTTCCTTCAGCTCTCCTCATTTCCATTTACCCTCATAATATCCCAGAGACAGCATAGGAACAAGGAGGTAGGAAGAAAGAATGGAAATGACAGGTCCAAAATAATTCATTGAGTTTCATGGCTGAGCTGGGAATCACTGAAATCCTAGTCCAACATTTTAACTCGTAAATCACACTGGCAATCCTCTCCGTAACACCAAATGCTGAATTTCAAGAATGTTGTGTCATCCGCCAACAATATTTTCATCTCCTCTTGGCTGAGCTCTCATCCATTTTAATGGAGAGACAGCCTCACGATGTAGAGAAAAAAATAAAACAAAATTGTGGTCTTCTTCAGGGGCTCTCAAAGAGGAGAAAAGGACAAGAGCCCCTCAAAAAGGCCACAAACATTTAATTCACTAGAATATGTTGGGCTCTTTTAGTGAATACGTTCATTTGTTTTCTTAGCCTTGAGACTGTGTCTCTCCTTTAGACTGGATTTCATTTTTTAAAAAATGCAATTTTTTTTTTGTTTTTGAACCCTCCTCCAGCCTCTTGCAGAATCCAGACATCCTCTTAAGAGTGTTTCACTGTCTCCACTGTTTCACCGGATTCAGATGAGAGGGAGACAAAGTTGAAGATGATCACTGTATTGAGGACATTTCAACCCTGATACCAGAATGATGCTTCCCAAAGAGGTCATGTAGAACTCTGGTCCTCATTGGGGATGGGAACTCAAGTTGTGGGTCTCGCTGTCAAGTCTGATTAAGGCTTATCTGAGACTCAACTAAGATTCAATTACTTCAACGCAGCTTGTGACTCGGAATCCACCCATCCATCCCCTTTTTTTTCTGGGGGGAAAAAGCTTGTTTTTAATAGACACTCAAAATTGGAGCTTGGGACTCAGGACTTTGTGCAAAAGACTCAGACTTGAGACTCAGAACTAAAGACATGCCAACATCCCTGGTCTTCACGCAGGTGATTTAAAAACACAGCATAGAAGGCATAATAGAATCCTGTGTTCCATGACACCATTGGCTTGGGGCAAAACATACATTCCCCAGGATTGTTATAGGAAACCAGCATCATCAGATTGCAAACTCCTTACATTTTATTGATCAATTGAAATAGAAACAACTTTACTGTGTTTCACTAACTTATTTCATTGTAGATTCATGTTTTCTCAGTGCTCAATGAAGCCTAACATATAATACTAGACTGGAAGAGACATAGCTTTGCACTGCACTGATTTATTTTAAAAATCTTTTAAACTTTTAATTCCCTGAAAGAGCATTTTAATGACCTTCCCGTCACCACCACCTTGCCATCCTTTTCTTCAGAAAAATAAGAGCTTTGCTCAAACATTGAATGGTAATTGTACATACGACTGCCTTGACTTTCAACTACGTTGCTAATAGACTTGTATTAGTTTTGAAATAACTGAAATGAATGGTTCATTAATTTTTCACCTTAAGCAGAATGGAAATTTGACAATGTTATGCTGTGAATAGAAAATCTAAGGAGTACCGTGTTATAATCTAGGAATTTATACAGTAAATTACAACCAAAAGCAAAGAAAAGATGTTTAGTTGAAGAAGGTCTGGGTTCCGTCATCTGGAGTTCAAAGCAAGCCCATTCTACAATATAATCAAATCTTTCTTCCTATTAAAGCATCATCTTTTATGGAAGAACAGAAACTCTTAACACCCATTCTTTCTCCCTTGCACATTTCATATTCATGACCTATATGTACAGCTAAACACAACTGTTACTCCCTGTGGCGTTCACCTTAACACAACTGTTACTCCCTGTGGCGTTCACCCTTATGGCAACTGTGTGTTTTGCCCTCACAAAGGCTCTTGTCGCATTTTCCTCTCGCTGTCACCAGTGGATTACCTCAATCCACAATATAAATGACGTTTGTCAGAACACTTGTTTTGTGAATACAAACAGAACTTATTTATTGAAGTGAAGCAGATTTAATAATAACAGAAGTTCTTCAGATAAATATTGTACACAAGTAAATCATTAACAGTTATCTTGGTACATACTTTTCTCTTGCAAAATCATTACCACCTTCTCTACCTATTTTCTTAACCAGTCTTATCACTTTGTATTTCTCTTTTTTCAGATAAATATTGTACACAAGTAAATCATTAACAGTTCTTGCGGTACATACTTTTCTCTTGCAAAATCATTACCACCTTCTCTACCTATTTTCTTAACCAGTCTTATCACGCTGTATCTCTCTTTTGACTAACCAGCCTTTATCTCTATCTGGGTCTTATCCCAATCTCTATCTGACTCCTTCTTCTCCCACCAAACCTTCCTATAGCTGCTGACTCCACCTCTCCCGCCCTCTCATAGGCTCATGCAAATCAGCTCATGACTATGAATGGCATGAGTGATGTGGGGCGATCCTCACACTCCCAAAGGGAATAGACCTACTGAAATCCTGTTTAGGTAATTTATGCCACATAAGGCACATGATATCATCAACTGGGATGATTTTTCCAAAAAAATTAAAATGCATTCCTACATTTGTCCCAAGGCATCCATGGCTCATTCCATAGAATCTCTTTCATTGGTGGGAACTTTAATCCAGTGGGTTCCATGGGACAGAAGTGGGATTAATTTCGAAAAGGTGTCTCGGCTGATGAGATCATCAGCCTTAAGCACCATAAGTTATGCAAACAGGATTTCAGCCAGGGAATCAATGGAACTTACATTACAGTTGCTTTAACAAAGCCCATTCATTCACTGGGGGAACTCAAATTTAAAAATGACAATTGAATTTGGTCCATAATTTTTTTTCATCAGTCAAAACAAGATTTAAATTCTGAAATGTTATATTTTTCATTTTGGAAATTTCACCACAACACAAACTGCAGTTTTTCTATGTTTCAAAACACTATCCATGCTCTTGCCTGCCACTTTTTTTAAAAAAGCATCAGATCTGAAGATGAATACTGCAAGTTTTGCTGATCATTTTATATCCATCATATTATTCTGTAAAAGTTACATTATTTTATATAAGTTGTTATCTTCTCAATTTTTATTCTAATAGAAAAGGTGGAAGAATATTTTTGTTGAAAAAAAGAGGGAAAGAGGAAGGGGCCCACAAATGACACAGAATAGAATAGAAGTACAAATTCAACTACGGACCTTTATTTTTCTGGTATTTAATTGCAAGAACATCCCTTTTCTGTGCAGATCTTGCATATGTATTAAGACTCCTCTATTACAACCCCTGAACTAAACATTCATCCTGAAAAACTCAAACCCCTTTATGGAAGACTGATAATAACTAATATAGTGATTAAGTGTCAATTTGAGGAACTTAGCATCTCTGATTCATTAAATCTGTAAACATCTCAGGTAGGGATAGGTGGCCTACATTTTGCAGTTCCCCAGTGTCAGAGCCTAGGATTCTCACAAATGAAAAATATTAACCTCTTGAGGGCGTCATTTCAAAACATTCCATCTAGGGAGTGTGGGGTCAATTTTGCCATATTTCAATGGGCCCCAGAATCCCTCATTTTCATTGATTTTCTTTTTCTCTCTCTTTTTTCTTTTTCAAATGGCCACCAAAGGGCTTGTTCAGTAAATGAAGCCCAACTTTTTAAAAAAGAATGTGTTTTTTGGGGGGGGGCGTGTCATGGTAGTGGGTGAAGCATTTGACAGTCTAAGATTGAGGATATGTGGCCCCTGAACCTCTCACCCCTGATTTAAAGCTATCTGCCTCCTTCAGGTTCATTCCTTTAGAGAAAAGAATACATATAGAGGTCCTCAAGAGAATCACAGTGTGGCTAATAAAAGCATCACCCCTTTAAATGCTTTGCCTCTTTATTGTAAAAGCAGAACTTTGAAAAAAAATGCTTTGCCTCATTCCAATTGGCCGGAGAATTGTTCCTCGTAATCTTGCTTTTCCATCATCCTGTGCCTTGGTTCTTTTGTGTGAACTGTCCAGTATTACTAGCCAACAGTGTAATAAAGGTTGGAGAACACTACTGTTTTTGACTGTAATCCCCCTTATGCCTTACTGATGGCTATGGTGTTTGGGGCTTCTGAAGTCCCAAAATTCCATAGGGCCAAGTTTCCTTAGCCCCGGTTTACATCTTTCACCTATGGCTTGGGTGGTGTTACAGATAACCCCTAGAGTCTATTTTGCTCTTTACAGAGAACAATTTGTTTACTTGCTCATTCAGTTGCTTTCATATACAGAACAAGATAAGGAAGGAGAACAACGACGATGAT